TGAAATGAATTATTACAAAATCAGATGTTACTAGTACAATGCGACGTTATTATGTCTGTTCTGATTTAGCTCGATCTCATTTTTGGTATAACCATCGGGGCTTACCCACCTCTACGTCCTAGCTGGTCGTTTCTCCAGAAAGAGTCTCTCCCTTTCCATAAAGTCGACCAGCCGCTAACGACGGTTTCGCTGCCCATATCCGCCGTTCCGTGTGCCCACCTTTGCGTTGAAATCCTCCATGACAACGGTGTAGTGAGCTTCGGAGGTGTGTATGGCTTAGGAAATTTCCTCATACAGAGCCTCTACTTCATCGTCGCAGTGTGTTGAGATCGGCGCATATACCTGTATGACCTTCAGCGAATACCGGTATTCTGAGTTTAAGGTACGCTACCCTACCCGACATACTGTCAACTTTATTCACGTTGTTGACTAGGGACTTGCGGACGAGAATCCGATACCACCTTGGGATTTTCGATCTCCTTTCCGAAAAACGAGCGAGTTGCTGGAATCCAGGTCCATCATTTCATTTCAGATAGTCAGATGTGCCGACGCATTTTGCTTGTGCTGTGTGTGTTGTGTGTTGCCTGGGCCAAAGTTCATCGGGGGTGGAAGAGCGGTCATCTGCCAGGGATTCTTAGCATCTCCGGCTCCGCCGTTACCCGATCCGCTATCTAGATTAGGCATAGCGGAGCTGCCGGGGACTAGGGGCCGTGTGCGTATATTGTCGTTTATAGTGATAGAGGGGGGGGGGAGGTGCCATAATTCACACGCTTGGTAGGCGGCTTGAGGATAGCTGTTAGGTTACCGATGTAATTATGGAATGCTGCAGCCCATTTCTAAAACAGCGACCAGCCACCGGGTCGCTGTTTTAGGACATACCCGGGTCCAATTGGATTATTTTATTGTAAAAAGATAGGTGCTTACATCTTTGGGTGTGAAATGTTGTTTAGCCACTTCATATATTCCAAATCTTACTGTTGAATATGTTAATTGTCTAAGCAAAGCGGCTGATATACCATTGTATAGTCCTAGGACACCTGGAAACAAGGTATTGATTAAATTGTCGCCCGACCTGTACCAGACCCGAGCGTACGGCGCGTCGAATTCCGCGCGCGCCTCAAAGAGCCATCATACCACCATGTCTTTTTTGCCGTTCGTGCTAGCTGTTTATGCCTGCAGCTTTCTTGCACGTTGAATGAATGAAATACGTTTATTCAGCATAAGACATGCACGCTAGGAAAAAAAATACTTATACATTATGAGAAATAACAATAAAAAGCTTTAAAACAGACATAAAACTAAAACAAGCCAACACCGCGCAATATGTTGCACCTATACAGGTGCAACATATTGCGGCGGACATGCCCAATCTGAATGGATAAAAATGGGAAAACTCAGCAAAAAGCTGGGCACAATGATCACCCAACACTGATTTTCAGTTGACACCCCTGCAGCGACGCACGGACGGGAGCAACACATACTTGTAATCCGCGTATGCGAAAACTTCATTTTAATTTTGTGGATTCTAGGTGAAGTGTTCAGTCCAGATGAAGATATATGGGATATATGTATGCGTTGCGCATATATAGGACTGAAAAGTTAGTTTTTTGTCTATGGTAAGGCCCAAAAGGCACGACACAGCACGAATTATGTAATCAAGCTTACTACACACTAACAGATTATCTTGAAGATAAGAATGCTTGGCAGCATGTTGGTTTGGCACCACTGGACAATACTCAGTGTCATACTCAATAGTCATATGTAGTCAGTAGTTAGATTCCAATAATAGGTAATTTAATAATTTAATAATTTAATAATTTCATTCTAATGTAGACAATCTAGTTTCCTTATGGCATCGAGCATTTCTTTCTCTATTGAAACAAAGAGTTTCCTTTTTCTTGTATTGTTTTTATGGATTGTCAGTATGCACGTGAGCACCGTGTTAGACTATAAGTTTTTAATTTTCGTAAGTTTTTTAATTAGTAGGTATAATGCGTCAAGCGTGTCTTTATATTGTTCTCACATATACCTACGTACAGTATTGGAATATTTATCGGAGACATTGTATAACATACTTTTTTAAAAAGAGTAATGAATGGAGTTTCTTGCTCGTTCTTCTCCATTCGAATCTACATTTTGGAATGAGCACCTAGCTTCACCTAGCTTCACTGACGGACTGACTGACAGACTATTATTTATTTTGTATTTGTTGGCTTTTCTAAAGTACCAAAATATGGTTTGATTGAAATAAATACTTTGACTTTGACTTTGAAGACATGTACAGGTCTGGAGGGCCAAAAGCGAGCTTTCTTATTAGTAGCATCGCATTGGTTTTGCTTGCACCGAACTTAAGCTTGTTACTAGCCCCCCAGGCCGTTACCATTTCTAAGGCACCATTTACGTAAATTTCGTTTCGTTTAAATGTTTATGTTATAACAGTCGTCTTTGAATTCCTTAATGTTCTGTGTTATGTGTGAAGAATCTAAATATTTACCGTCATTTTTGACAACTGTCCCAATAAGTTGAGACATGGAAATTTTCCCCTTTTGAGTTTGCATTTGAACTTTCAGCAGATCGAATGGATGAGTGACACAAGCAGCTCCAGCCGCCGAAAGTCCTCCGAAATACCATCTTGGTACTCTTATTTCCTTCCATCCTGCTAAATCTTTTTGGACGCCCATTGTGTGAACTAAAACCCGAAGCAGATGTTTTTAAAATTTAATATCTTAACATCACCATTTGAAAATGAAATACATTATTCCGTTATAGTTTTATTCACTGTATAACTAATATTATATTGTTTCTTTCATTTCTACTATATCTGTGTATACTGATTTATACATAAAATACTTAATTTAAACGAAGGTAACATATTTTATTCCTAGTTACTGTTAAAGATGAATGTAATACCAAACCAACCTTATTTTAGAAATTCAATTCCAAGACACACTTTGTAAAATTTGGTCCAAAAAGACCTCTTTATTTGTATACAAGTATTACTTTAATACTTCTTGATTAAAATTAATTATGTGAAGCGACAAATAGACGAATACGTCCATTTTAGTCCGACTGTTTTATGAAACTGTCAAATCTGTGAAACAAAACCGGTTGTCAGTCCCTTGTGACATAAACAGTCAAATCGTTAAAAACGTCAAATTACTAATACAATTAAAACTATAAAACATTAAAACTACTTACCTACTTCTTACTTCTTGACTTATAACTGGACGGATTGCTCTCAGGAGGTGATAATACAACTAATTTCCTACAAAATAGCCCTGAGGTCCCTGGTCCGGTTTTGGTGAAAAAATCCCGATCTACATCTACTACAAGACATTAATAAAAAAAACTACTGTTTTGATTTAAGCGATTTTAGATTTTATCTATTGTCAATACATCAATAAACATTTATTAATACTAATATTTTGAGAAATATCATTCGTTTTAAAATAGCTACACACTAGCTAGTACATTTCGGATCAATCTCGGACTAGGGACCTCAAGGCTATTTTTGTAGAAAATTAGTTGTACCTATTATCACCTCCCGAGAGGAATACTTCGAGTTGCAAGTCATATGTATCATATGTATATGAACAGGTGTTCCCCGCGACTTCGTCCGCGTTTAATAATGACTTCTGACAAATTTTAAAGATTTTAATTAGTCTTCTCTAAGATTAATTCCAATCTATCAATATCTCAAACTATCGTTGTACCGAATTGCACTCATATAGGTTCAGTGGTTTAAGCAATAGAGCGTTCCGGAATTTTAATGCATAGTTCCTGTCCCGCGGAGAACATGGAGATGGAGGTTAGTATGGAGCATTTCGTAATTTTCAAGAAACCTAAAATTATAATTAATTATTTAATTTATTTAAATTTAAAAATTGATTATAAAATTTATTAAAATAACCCAAATAGGCGGCGCAAGCGGCACACTTATAAATAGTATAAAAAGTACAAAATGAAAACTCCCGGAAAACATTCCAGGACTACCAAATTACAGAACTATAAACCACAAAAGTGAAGTGGTATTGGTAGTGTTGTTTGAAACCAGACACGGTAGTCCATAGATATATGCAAAAGTGAAATTAAAGTATCATGTATAATTTGGTCAACTTGCTCCAGAATGTTTGCGGTTGCTTTCACAAAGGGGAAGCACGCAAGAAATATATGAATTTTGGGCCGAAACAGTAATATCGAATTAGGGTGAAAGCATACTGTAAATTAATTTTCGAAAGTCTCTCAGATATCTCGTAACAAAATTAAATTTCTTGTTTACAAATTCCGAGAAAATGATCAAAATTCATCAGAATCAGAGATTTTAAACAAAAAATATGAATTCAATTAACTAACTTTTACTTGGAATCACACGAAACGTTTTCGACAGCTCCGTAACATAACATCATGCTATATTCTTTCAGTGAAAGGTTTACTGTTTTCCTGAAAATCAACCGCAGCTAGGTAAAGTTAATTGCGTATATGTAGGTAAGCCACTCACTAACCGTTCGGAAAAGTAAACAGGAAATAGAATCAAGTAGGCTAGTTTTCGAGAAAATTAATATTTTATGACATTAAATGCGATCCCATAAAACAGTTACGGTATATTGGCATAGTTCCCAATTTATAGGAAGGTATGTAATTAATAACAGTCTACATGACGGCGCATGAAACTTTTATTTGTGGTGATTAGCTGTTGCCCCAGCGACCGCCCAAAGCGAAGGCTGTATTTTGACCAGAGTTCAGTCCACGTGAGGTGACGCGGGCGGAGAACGTTTGACTTTGCCGTTTTATTCGACGCCCTGACGTTATAAATAAAAAACCTGTAGTACCTATTTGTAGGACATATTTTTATCAGCTTTTGTCCTTAATAATAAATTTATTTATTAGTGTGTATAGTAGTGTGCATTGTTTACTTTTTGGTTAACTTTTCAAGTATAGGGAATATTTGAGGTATTAAGTAGTTAATAAGCACAGCAGAGCTGGGTCGTCATTGTGCTTGGATGCGTGTGAGTAAAGGAAGTGATGCCATGACTCAAAGCACCGTGGCTGCCTCAGAGAGATCACATGGCAGCATCCGCACTGTCTCCGAAGAGAAACTTATGGTAAATAAAATATTATATACATACCTAGTCAGAATGTTTTAGGCATTTAAGTCTAACAATATATTCATTCTAAAGATCTGAATTATGCACATACTTTTACCTAGTAAGTACTTCGTATGTATAGATACCTAAGAAGTAGATAGACCTAAGAATTTATATATCTACCTAAGCTATTTACTTTAACAAATGTTCAATAGATCTTTGGAAAAGGTTAATTAACGTTGCATGTTAACATAATCAAGCTGTTTAAGTGCATTTTACCATTTGGTACCTACATATCTATGTCTTGGCTCGAACTAATTGTTTAAATCTACCTGTTAAGTGAAATTTGCATATTTAAGACGTATGCAATTATATGCAATCTTTTCCAGGCAGACACCCGCGTTCAATTAGATTAGTTAGATTTTAGAATTGTAAACTGAGTAGGTACTTAAATACTGAAAGAAAAATGAATGACAAAACGTGTTGCAAGTATATTACATATTTTATGTTCTGGCTCATCTGGCTGTAGAGTCAATCGGTTATGTAGAGTCTTACACAATGACACGGGAATTAGATACCTCTTAATATTTGTTCAGAAGCAGAAATATATTTAAATATCACTTAGTAAATTCAACAATAATCTAGGAATAGATAATGTTTAATTTAGGAATAGATATTATTGGTAAGTAAGCAATTATCATAAAGAAAGTTATAAAGTAAAGAAAAATAAATAATTTAATGTTTTAGGGTAGCTAATAAACCAAGGAAGTTTATCTAATAGTTTGTACGCTTAGTGTAAAATCAACCTGCCGCGCCAGATTAGTGCGTGGCGGGAAGAGCTCCGGCGCGATCTCATGGCGAAATAGCAGCAACTACTGACGCCACCGACGGCTGGGCTCGCTGCCACCGCAGCGGTAAGTCCCTTCTTTGAGGAGTAGCTTGAGAGACGCTACGGCGTCCTCACCTACCGCCTGACGCAAGTCCTCACCGAATACGACGAGACGATCTCCAGCCATCGTAAGCACGGGCCTGCGGACGGTGAGCACGGGTGACTCGCCGCCCGACCAGAGCTAGGCCCGAGCGTCTTAAAGTACACAAATAGCAAAACAAAAATTCATCCTAAGATATATATAAAATAGATAGTAATAACCATTAGTAGATAACAACAGACCTTATAAATGTGTTTGCAACAGGTGGCGGTGCGCGTGCGCCCGCAGCGAGCAGATGAAGGTCCCCGCATCGTGCACGTGGTCAGCGATAAGGTTACCCACTTGCATTACCTAATACACCCATACGTCTATCATACTAGTTGCTAGTTGTACAGGTCTTATCACTCCTTGTAGGGCACTAGTTAATTACGTAATATTATCAATCTACTGCACATTGCACTAGGTAGGTTAGGTGTCAAAGTCAAAGTCAACGCATTAATTTTAATCAGACCGGCAGCAGTACTTTTGTAAGTCAAGGTGCCATAAAGCGACTACTGCTGGCCTAGCTGTCTACCGGAAAGAAAGATTTTGTTTGATCATTGTATTACGTATGCAACAGAAAAACCGTGAAACTAAATGATCTTTTCCATCAAGTTGATGGTGTACGCGATGATGTTAGATATTTATTACAAAAAAAGGTAGAGTTTAGTTGTCGGTAAGTAATAATTACAATTCGAGTAGGTTAATGAACTACAAGAACTTTAATACAATTTTGAAGATTTATGGCTGATTAACTAAATAGGCACCTAACTACTTACCTACCGCAAGTAAAACTGACAAAAAGATTGGTCGGCAAATGACGTTGCGTGTTTGTTACAAGTCTAGCGCTTAAAATTACTTATTGCTCACACCAGACTGTTTCGATAATGTCTACTTAAGCTAGTCATTTATAATACTGCTGTAATGGAGTATTATTATAAATACCTAAACTTAACTTTTTTACAGAGGTACAGAGTCCTAGGTCTCTAGCGCATAGTTCCCGTTTCCGTATTTGGTAGTCTTTTCATACATCGGGTCACATTATCGAAACTTTCACCCGGTTCTTTTATTAAATGTAGCGTATGTTCATCATGGATAATGTAGGACTCCAATAGTAGAATAATTTTTCACATCGGTCCAGTGGTATGGAGCCTATTCAATTCAAACAATCAAAAAATCAAATCTTTCCTCTTTATGATATTAGTGTAGTTAAAAAACATTTTACGCCATGATCACTTATAAAAGTTACACGTTCTTATTCATATCGATCGATGTCAAAACAGAACACTTCCTGCTAGCGTTATCAGACAAATTGATCTTTTAATCGTTATTAGTTTCTCATAAAAGTGAAGTTTATCATGTTACCATGGACGGACGATGAGATAACGTGAGGTGTGTAATCAGATGCTGGTTTTGGAGGAGGAGGCGGACAGCCGTCGAGATGTCCTACGTCAGCGGCGGCTTAACGACAAACACTACGTTTATGACCGAGTCTTTGGCGAAGGCAGCACACAAGTACGTTTTGAATTACAGATGCATTAACGTCAAACTAACTTCAGTACTTCTTTAACTTTTTACCGACTTAAAAACTTAAAGTAATGACGATATCTTCATTGTTTTAAAGAATTTACCGAGAAAAAGAAAAACAGTTTAGATTCAGTGCTTACCTTGCTACAAATTCTAAGTCCAAATTCACGTAGACGACGAGTAATGGCAATTTCGATTATTGCTATTGCACCTGCAGTGTTTAGAAATAACTGCAAAAAATTATGCTAAATGCTTCGCATAATATCACGACCACGTGTTTGGCGTAGGAAATAGGCAGACTAGAACGTGATATATGAGTATCTACTGATACGTAACAACGATCATTTACCCGATATCAATAATTGGTGTTGTTGGATTCTAATAATTGCTGTTTCGGTCATGATAAAAGTTATATGAACCTCTTACATAATTGATGATACAATGGAGGCCTTCCGTCTACAACGAAATCAGAAGCTACTAAGTTAAATAAATATATTTAATACGCGTTTGGAAGATACGGTTTCTATTCACTGTATTTTAACTTAAATTTGCTTATTGATAACAATGTCACATAATAAGACAAGTAAGTTTAAGTTTTTAGTTTCATAATCCAGTTATGCACATATGATTGTTTAGTCATTCTTAAGTTTTTTTACTCCGGTATGTGTAGTATGAAACTTATTTTTTGTCTAGGAAGACGTATACGATGCTGTCTGCGCTCCCCTGGTGGGTGATACGTTGAAAGGATTCGCTGGAGCCGTCTTCGCGTACGGAGCCACTGGAGCTGGCAAAACATATACCATGACTGGCCTGATGTCTCGAGCTCTAAGTCATCTCTTTGCCAGCATCGCTGAGAGCGAACAACCAGAGTCTTATGAGGTAAGTAAAAACCAAGAATATATCACATATTGTCCCAGGAATGTCTTAACTGCACCGAAAGACAACGGTCCACAGAAGGCTGGACAGATGCATCTTCATATGTTTAGTGATCTAACTGCAGTGATCACACAACCCGTAGCACCTACCTTACTTAACGTGTAGAGTTACGGCAAAAAGGAAGACGCCACTGTTCAGTACTGGATGTCTTTCGGTTGATATTGAAAAGGAATATCATTTTATACCCATTTATTTCGAAACCCAATACACCTAATGTAAGTGGTGGTTGTGTTGTATCGTTTGGCAATATATTATATTCAACTGTCTATCTAACCGAACCACTCAAGGACGGGAAATTTCGTTATCACACGTAAATAACTAATATCTAAATTAGAAAATTAATTATCTGGTGGTTCGTTGACTGTATCCTCTATTACTCAGCATGACGTTGGTTAGATAGTACCTACGTTATCAGAAAGATTCGTATCGAGTAGCTCGTGTGCAGTTTAGTACAGATTACGTACATTTATTTTGCACACCTAACAGAAAGACTCACCTATTCGTAAAGAAATTGCTCGAATAGGGGCTGAATAGGCGATTCATTAGCCCCCTTCACTTTCAAGACGCCTTGGAGGTCGAATCGCTCCATCATTGTGGGTTTTAGTAGTGAAATAGCAGCGTCGTCGCCAGGGTCGCCACACGAATCTCTATTAGCGATTCTTTTGTTATTTTCGTATGCATCAACCTTTGTTATGTTATAGGTATTCAAGACTCTTTATCTCTATTGTTCCGTTGAACAATTAAGTACCTATGTATCTACTCCGGTACTTTTATGATATTAGATTAGCAGGATGCAAGAAATGGATATATAGCGTCTCTCACGTTATTGAAACTCTATCGTAATGATGTACTCCAACAAAGCGTCTTGTAGTCGTTTGTCATCCTTTATTTGTGTTAATTCCTTGGCACCACATACTTACTCAGTGCGATCCTCGGAACAATATGCTTTAGTTATTGTTCCGAGGTGCGATCTTTGTTACATATGTGAGGGGAAATAACAGTCTGTCTTTTTTATCGCAAAATAAAAATGATGTTTACATATCTAACTTTTTATGTCAATATAACAGAGGACACACCTTCTTCCATAAAAAATGTTTTATACATTTATATTTAATCCAAATCGTGACTTAACGCTTGTTATTTCTCGAAAGCATCACTAAACACAGAATAACGAACTGGGTAGGTAGCGTATTTTAAACAACACCTGATTTCTAGGTTAGGTTATATTAACTTATAACTTAAGAATCTTTTTTTCTGAGGAACCCGTAACAATATTTTATTTTTGTTAGTTGCACTTGTCGCAGCCCTTCTGTCAAAACACGGTGATTGGACTTCCATCTGAATACGTACAAGTTCCTCGATTAGTTTTTCCAACTGTTTGAATGAAACCAGTTGAATATAGTTGCTTGATTAGTATCGGGAAAATTCCAACATGGTTAGGTATTCGGTAACATGCTAAAGGTACCTAACTCGTTAGTCGGGTTACAATACAAAATAATTATAATTAAATACTTAAATAGCGTGACGTTTTAGACCTTGTGTTACTTTGTTCAGTCGCATCAAACACTGCATGTATTGTATTATTAAAGTGTCAACTTGTGTTACACGTTTGGAGTAGATATCACCTATATTGGATACACACGGAGTTTCTATTTAAGTCCAGTTTTACATAACAAATGTATAAATAACAGTAACCCAAAATAACACAGCAAAATGTTCACCAGATACTGTTATGTATATGTATGTACCTATAGCCATACAAAAGGCACAATTTCAGAGATATATAGATAAGTTAAGAAATCAAAGTAGGTACAAACACAGTTCCGTGTGCAGAACCCATTTATTTTGCTTTAGGGGAGAAGGCGCCCTGAAAATAGTGGCGCAGTTAAACATTCTCCTACATGGTCGGCAGCACTACACTTGTGACCGTGGTGGTGTTCCATGTGTACCTAGGCTACGAATATCATTTACCATCAGATAAAAAGAACTATCTTTATTATATTATTACATACTATAGCCATTTATTACTGCAACAATCCAGTTATACAGCACAAGTTGGCAAATGAACGGCATGGTTACAACGAGTGCCAAATCTCAGCGATGATTGACATGTCGTTAATTTATCGTTATGGTTATTGTGTGTACTTTTACTAATACATGATACCGTTTTATTGCCAGTTATTAATTTAGAACGTTGTCTCGATCTCGAGATGGTCAATGAAGTAAATGTAATAATTAATCTACTTTTTTGACAATTAATTAATTAATGTTCAACACGACCATAAAAATTCAAGTGCTTATTAACAAGCAATAATTCACCAGTTTTAAGGAGCGGCTGGTCTTCTATCACTATAAAACAATTCATGAAAAGTTAGCAATTAAGCATTATAAGTACTAACTTTGGCTTGTCCTTTTATCGAAAAAGTATGTATTTATTATGTAGCATAATATCGAAAAGATATTGAAACACGTTTTTGATACGGATAATTTGCTACCTATTGTTAGGCGATCTTATTGATCTGCCGGCTTTCAGTTAAATGTATTGGATATCACCTATCACTTCATTATTTCCTACACACACAATTTCTGTGAATATGTCTGGAATTGCGCGCTGTGTGACAAAAAGCTTTACCTATCATAATTACCCTCCATGACTTAATTGGCGGAAAGGTTTTTTAATTCATATAATATGTACATATGTACCTACATCATTAGTTGAGGGATAAAAGACGAGTCCATCGTTTTGACCACAACAATAATTATTTTGGAAATCCATCATGCTCGTTTGTTATACATAATGTATGAAATATTTGAATATTTTATATGTATCAAATATTTAGAATTACCTACATACATATGTATATTCAAATGCAAGTATGTACGGTTAGTCAATCAGTGGGGTGGGTGGGTAGGTACTGGGTAGTATGTAAATGTAGCGAGCTGACCGCAAGCCGGCGCCGCTGACCTTGACCAAACGGAAGTTCTTTACTGTTTTTCATGCATATTTACGAACCACGTTGAAATCGCACGAGTCATGAAAACCACGTTTGGATTTAGTTTTATTAATCCTTTGGCAAGGTTTGATTAGTTTCAAAGGCATAATAAGACATTATTTCTTTTTATTTTCTTTTTCGAACCTCATAATTGACCTTCAAGTGTGTTCCTCATAATCTTTGTCAAACTATTTTGTAGGCAACACATTCTAAACTAGACTTGAATTTCAATATTTTCATCTCACTTGTTTAACACCTGGTTGATTCATGCATACGTTAATTTTCCTTGACATAATAAATACCTCTCAAAGGATAAACCACATGAATATATGTTTTTCCAAATATATTTTCCCCGGTGAAGTAACGAAATAGTAACATTACAAGAATATTTTCCTTTCAATTTAGAAAATAGGTTATATAATAATCAATATATGAAATAGTGAAATGCGTAACACACAAACTAATTATTTTTGTTATATACGTGGTAAAACAGATCAAAGATCATCGCTGCATTAATATTTCAACATAATTCTTTCTACTTTACTTTCTCATAAAGACTTCAAACTTGGAATTTTCCAACGAAGATCCGGCCGTTCTTCGATCGACCTCGGAGTCAAGATCGAAGTCATAGATACTGCTATCCATTAGATTGATGAGATTGTTTAATAAATAGACAAAGTAGGTACTTACTAATCTTTATTAGTAACTCTAAATTATTTCCGTCGTAACTGTAAAATACTGGTACCTATTTACTAATTAATAACATAGACATTATATTCAATTATTCAGCTGCTCTTGAAATTATTTTAGTTCTAAATTTGAGCTGTTAGCTAGTTACAGATCTGTAATATTGAAATAGTTCCAGACTAGTGCGCGTCATTACGTTATGCAACCCTAGAGTTGAATTAACTGGTCGCCTCTGGAGACAAACATGGTACTATGTGTATGTTATCGATATATCTAGATAACGAGATAGCGCGAAGGGGAGTTTAAATGACAATAACTATCAAATATACGTTAGCAGTGTGGTGTGGCCCTGCAGGCCGCCGCTACAGCCGCAAGGTCACTGTCGGTAGAGCGTGGCGCCTCGACTCGCGTGATTGACACCGAGGCAACCATTAACCTATGAAGGTGCTTTCTTCAATAGCCACACTTATGTTAGCTACCTACTTGTACACATGTACTTCTTCTATACCTACATCATTAAGTCTCATTTCATATAATTTTACACGGGTTTTTGCACTGTTGACGGTGTCGTAAAAATGGTTAAAAGGTTTGTTTTATGAGATGTGAACGTAATGGTAAACCAAATTTAAGTTCGCAAATAGCACCACATAGGTAATATAAAATCTATCGCGCTCCATTATGAATGTTGCTGGTTTATTTATGGCTGCACTCTACGTATATACAAATGGCAAAGATGTCGCACAAAGTCAAGTTCACTGGCGCTCTCGTGAATCAGTCTACCTACATAATACTCGTCTGTCATTAGAAGAAAGCAATGTTCAATAGTCATGGTTATCGTGAGACGAGGTATTCTACTGAACCAAGCATGGTAGCGTGACCAATGGGCAGTGATAATAACCATAGGTAACGAGTTACAAACAGGGACATTTATCAATTTTACTCGCGAGTTGCGGATGACTGCTGCCCAATCAAACGTAACTCATTCAATATTGCTTAATAAATTCTAGTGTTTAGATTAAAAGGGTCGCCTCCATTAACACACTTTTTAATAAGGTTTGCTATTTCTAGAGCGACATTCTAGTTCAACCAGACTCCACGTGGCCTTTACCTAGTTTGGCAGGTCGGTTAGCGGAAATACCAATTGTTTCATAATTTACTTAATATTGTTTTTAGCTACACAATAATCACGACGTAATACAGTTTAATTAGTTTTTTCGTTTACCTGCTCAGGTAAAGGGAATTATTATGGTTATTATTTTATGT